GGGGAATTCCGGGAGTTGAAGTCCACTCATCTTAAAGTGGCCAAGTTTGGACAACACTGCTCTAGAGGTTGACTAGAAAAGTCCACTTCTGAATGGGAGTTTTGTCAACAGTGCAGAAAGTATTTGCAGACCCAGTTTGTTTTCATGCACAAGATGTTTTTTTCAGGTACTGGCGACAGTGTTGAATGCTTTTCCTGTGGTGGAGGATTGAAAGAGTGGAAGGCTGGTGAGGATCCATGGGAGGAGCATGCAAGATGGTTTCCTGGGTATGAATATTTCATTTCTTTCAGATTGTATCTTGGGAGGGTTGCTTTGCAATATTTTTACCAGATCCTCAGTTCAGGGATGTGCAAAACCAAATGTGTTGGAAGTGGAAAGCTTTGGACAACTCCAGTTGTGGAGGTAGCCTGCTGGCTTCTGAGAAGTGTATATTTTGAATTGGAAGCAGTTTGTGGGGTTTTGGATGTAGAAGAGCCAGATTTATCATGGTCTGGAGGAAGGACAGGATGTTCTACTCCTGGAATGTTCAGCTTTGCACCTCTTTCTCAGCCTTGAGAAAAAATCTTGGAACAGTTTAAGAAAGATCAAGAAATGGTCAAAACTAGCCCAACCAGAGGAAGAAGAATTGGGAGGGAGCAGGAAAGAGTTTTTCTTGGCTGGGGTTTCTGAGAATTGGAGTCCTAACACATCTGGATTGGAGAAAGCTAACTTAGATACCTGTGTGTAGGCAAGCATGCACTCACATGAATCAGATTCCCCTACGAGGGATGTGTGACTGGGCAGAACCCCTGCTCACCATGCAGAGGCCCCAGATACATTCCCCATTATTTCCAGATAGGGCTGGAGGCATGTTTGTTGGAACCCCAGATAGCATCTGTTGGTTAGTTGAATAGGAAAATGACAGGAATCTGACTTTCCCTCACGTTCTGGATGTCAAGCTCCGTGCAGGGCAAGATCAAGGAAGCAAGAACTACACAGATTTCAGCAAAATGCCTCTGATGCAAGTGTGAGGTAAATATATAACTTGGAAACAGAGGAATTTGCCACCCTCATTTATAGTGCATTCATTAAGGTGGAGCCTTTTTGAATGATGTGAAATGCTTCTTCCCAGGTTTCTTGCCACCTGGGCTAAATCACTGCTTATAAGATAAGCTACCAATGGATTCATCTACATCTTGATCCTCTATTATCTCCTCTTCCTTTCAAACTCTCACAAGAAGGGACTTCTTCATGAGCAAGGTTACCTCCACCACTAGGGAAAGTCCTACCTTTGAGAAATAGTTCACATCTTCGGCAGAAGGTGTCGTGTACACACTAGGCAAGATCACTGCCAGCCTGGAGTAAATAAGAGAATATTGGAAATGGTAAAAGGAATGTCCTACCATTATTTATATTGAGTTCACTAAGGCAGAGTCTCTTTGAATTATTTGAAATGCTTCTTCCCGGTTTTTTTTGTCCCCTGGGTTGAGTTGCCATTTATAAATAACGTGGCAACAGACTCCCCTTCCCTCTCTTGATTGTTCATGTCTATTCTCCCTTCCCTTTCTTTCCTAGCTTCCCCATAGCCTCTCACCCATATCTATTTGCGACATGGTGGGACACTCTGAAAACAAATGAAACCATTTCTGTTGGGGGGGAAGGGGTGAAACCACCTGCTGCTTAAAGCCTGAAGCCGTCCTGGAGTTGATGGAGTTGGTGTCCTCCTTGACTCTAGCAAGCAGCAGGCAGGACAGGAAGCAGAAGGAGATGCAACTCTGCATGTGCTTCAAAAAAGGATTTGAAAGAAACACTCTGGGCCTCACCTGAGCACAATATTTTTCTGCAATGTATTAAAACAGCGTGACTTTTTTAGGCTTGATGGGTGAGTTGGGGGGGGTAGAAAAGATGCTGCTGCTTTAAAGAGGCAAGTTGCTTCATTGAATGCTAGTCATGGATGTTTGGGGGGGGAAAGCTTTCACGAATAGCAAGAGGATGTCTCCTCATCCAACTTCTGCTGAATCAGTTTTGAAGGTATGTGCAGCCTGTCCATCATGCTTCATGGCACAGTGTGTTGTGTGAGTCCAAATAAGGGTGGTTTATTCACCAAAAGAAACTTAACTTCCTGTGATGTGTGAATTAGATTATTGCCTTGCTTAAGTACCTTCAGCTTTGGCTAATTTTGTTCCAACATTTTGTACCTAGGTGCAAATATCTGGGCGAAGAAAAAGGCCAGGCCTTTGTGAACAGTGTTCATTTAAATCCTTTGCCGCAGGAATCAGCCGTAAGTGTCTCTCTCCTGGTCCTTTCCCGTCGCTTCCGCCGTGCATTCAAGCTACCTCCACAGGGACTCTTGTTTTCGGATGAATGTAGATTTTAAATCATGCATGCATTGAGCCAATTAAATTAGTAGAAAGGCTTGGGTTACTACCCTGCGGTCTCTCCAGCTGTCTTTGCGCGAGCAGATGGTGTTCCCATGCGCAGCTGAAAAGGTTAATTGCTGCCACGGAAAAGGCCGCATTTAACTTATTTGATTTCGGTTTTCTTGTTGACGGCGAAGAACAGTCCTGGCCCTGCTCTTCTTACCGGCGTTTGCTCACGGAAATGAATTGACAAGTACAAACTGTGATATTTGTCACTTGAAGACGTCAGGAGCTGCCTGTGTGTAAGAGTGTGTATATCTGTCGATTTAGATAGAGGCGGAGCAGGAGGTAGAATGGCCCAGTCCGGATTGAAGGACTGAGAGATTTATAGGTCAGCTATAAATATTCCCCTTAGATTTGGGAGTGTCTGCTTTCAGAAGGGCTGGTTGATGCTTGATATTCAAGGGCTTCTAGAGGAAAAAAATCAGCTTGGCTCTGGAATATTGTCGTCAGATCTCTTACCGGCATTCGCTCTTTGTCTCCTTCCCTCTCTGAAGTGTATTCCTGCAACCACCAGCATTCCTCTGGGTGGTTTCTCCTTGGGAGTTGAGACCATCTGGCCACCTGCCTTAGTTAGGCTTGGATTAGCTACTAGTTGGCTCATCTCCTTCCCTCAACAACATCTCCCCCTCCCATCCTTATGGGACATTAGTATGCAAAGTGTAAGCCAATGAGGACCCAGAATTGCTTATTTTCCTTTCTCCTCTTTGGGTTGTGTTTTGAAAAATATTTTGATTGTAAGCTCTTATTTTAAGCTGGGAAAGTTCCTTCGGGTGCCAGTCTACACGTGGCTCCCAGGAAGCCACTAGCTTTCCTTTCCTACTTTATCTTTTTTTCCCATTTTTTTTTTAGTTAAAATAAATAATTGAAAAGCTGATGTGCTACAAAGCACCAGCCTTCACGGAGCTGGCAAACAGAAGAAGCAAGAACCACAGGGACTTCTAAAAGGCATATTTAATGCTGGTCGGGGGTAGAAATATAAGCTTGAAAACTAACAGAGTAAATTCCTAGGCACGCTTATAGCAAACTAATTAAGACAGAATCTCTTTGAAGCATGTCCTTCCCACAGACCCGCATCTGGGTTGGGCTGTTTCTTCTTATAGTCAGTGAATGCTTCCTCTGCCTCCTTCCAACAATCTCTCTCAAGTTTTAGCATTGGCTTTATTTTCAGGAAGATCTCAAGGCGTTGGGGGCTACTGGACTTCCAGAGGAAAAAATGGCAGTCTGAAGATGGCTCTGCAAAAAGTGGAGCCAACGACCATGGAGAAGAACGAAGAGCCGGTGAGTAGACTGGCTCTTCAGACCTCTCCAGATGAAGAGAGGACTGGAGATTGTGCAAAAGTGCTCCTCGCAAGGAGACCGCAAGACAGCAGTCTTCAGCGGGTTTTGAACAGTGGGAGACGAGGAATAGCTATCTAGCTCAAACCGTGGTTGGTGCCTTTAAAAGGACACTGGGTTCGCCTACTTCTTTTTCTAATCACTTTTAAAAGTTGCTTATTAACTACTTTTCAGCTGTTAGAAACCTTTGGATCGACAAGTCTGAAAACACTGAGCAAGTCTGCCTTTGATCCTTAATGAAAGAAAATTTTAACTACAAGCTTAAGAACTTAAAAACGTTGCAATAAACAGCAAAAAGCTAATTAAGACTTGGATTTTAGAAAGTTATAAACGGATTAAGAGTCCAGATAAATTTGAAATAAGATTTTGGAATTAATTATAAAGCATCCTTCCCATGGGAAAGTTGACTTGTTTTGAATTTTTTCTACGACATAAAAGAGAGAAACAATTTTAAAAATTGGACACTAG